TCGTCGTCGTCCGTCTCCTCCCCTCCCCCTCCCCCCCCCCCCCCCCTCCCCCGTCCCCCATCCTTGCCACCACTTTGCGTCACTGGCACGACACCTCCCCCTCCCCGCCCCCACCACCACCACCACCACCCCCCAACCACCACCAACCACCACCAACCACCACCCTTTAGGCTCAACCAACACTTCACCTTCCATACATTCACACACACCCATACACACTCATTCTTCTGGATAGCGGTGTACATATGATCGACAGACTGCCTGGAGAGGTCCTCCACCTCATTGCCTATCACGTCGACGTGCTGGGGGCTGGCGAGGTGGTGGCCATGGCGGCGACGTGCAAGGCGGTGCACACGGCCCTCCTCGGCTCGACGTACAGCACGAACATGGCAAAGGCATTGCTAGGTTGGGATTCATGCTTGGCAAGACGGTTGTGGGGCGGGGCCCGGATGGCGCTGAGACGAGGACGGCGATGGGAGCCGCGGGCGGTAGTACGCGCCGTGTTTGACGATGCAGAGCCGGACGATGACGAGTGGCGGCTGCTGGTTCGCGAAATGGCGGTCCGCGGCGCGGCGGTACGGGTCAATATCTGTGGGTCTGTGGGCAAGATTGTGTGGTGGAATGATAGCCGCGACTTGGGCATCGGCGCTGTAGCCGTAGCCTATGGTCTCGAGGACGTAGCACTCGGCTTGCTCGGCGAGGTGAGTAGGAGCGACCAGACGCAGATGTTTGTGCTAGGCGCGCAGATGGGTATGGCGAAGCTTGTGGTCCAGCTGCTGGCCGACGACTCGCTCGATGTAGCCGCCGAGGACAACTATGCCATCCGGTACGCGGCCAAGTCCGGTCACGCCGAGATGGTGCGGCTGCTGCTCGCCGATCCGCGGATTGACCCGGCAGCCGACGCCTCGCACGCCATTCGGTGGGCGTCCCGCAATGGTCACACTGAAGTGGTGCGGCTGCTGCTCGCCGATCCGCGCGTCGATCCGGCCGCCGACAACAACTTTGCGGTGAGCTGGGCGTTTGAAAACGAGCACGCCAGTGTGTTCAAGCTGCTTCTGGCCGATCCGCGAGTCGAACTGCCGGCCGACCACCACGAGGCGCTCCGATGGGCGGCTGAGTTTGGGCATGTTGACGTCGTCGAGCTCCTGCTAGCCGACCCGGCAGTCGACCCGGCGGCCAACGACTGCGACGCCCTGCGCTGGGCCGCCGCCATGGGCCACGCGGCGGTCATTGCTGTACTGTTGCAAGACGGGCGCGTTGACCCTTGCGTAGGCGACAACTTTCCCATCCGAATCACTGCCGAGAAAGGGCATCTGGCCGCGGTCAAGCTCCTCCTTTGTGACCAGCGCGTCGATCCAAGTGCCGACAGTAACTACGCCGTACGCAAGGCCCACGTCAACGGGCACCTCGACGTCGTCACTGTGCTTGTTGCCGATCCGCGCGTCGAGGCGAGCGTCATCGGCGATTTATCCAGCGCCGTCACCCGAGGTCCGCCATCGGAATGGTCCGATGATGATAGTCTCCCCCCTTAAAGATACAACGCTGAGAAGCAGGTCAACGTTTGGTAGCGAGTAGTTCGTGGGTGCGCAAGCCTTGCTAAGTTGCGGGTGGGTGCCGGTGGGCGTGGTGTCGACACTTTCCCCGCTAGCGCCCGACACTCGTCGTTCTTTTGTGCTGCAGTCGTTCGTTCCCGGATTGCGGCCATTTGCGCGCCAATGGTATGTGTGTGGCAGCGGGAGGGAGAGCGGGAGCGGGGGGGGGTGAACTTAGCAGGCATAAGGAGGGGAGGAGGGGAGGATGGGGACTCATGGCTTGTCGGGTTGGGTGTGTGTGGTTGGGCGGGTGGCCAGAGCACACGCCCAGCTCCCTCGCTGGATCCTGCCGAGTATGAGCGCTACCTGGCTCTGCTGGCCGAGCGGTCGCGCCTGGTGAGCAAGCTTAAGGAGGCCGAGATGGATCCAGAGACCAAGGCTCGGGAGAAGGCGTTCTCCACCTACTTTTCTGGTGCGCATGCTGAAGCTGCCCCCTCTGCGGCAGGAGGCGGAGGATGCGCGAACGGCGCGGCGCGGAGCTCGCCGCCGCGGCGAGCTGATGCACCGTCGGCGGGGACGACCGCGGGCGGGCGGCGGCGCAAGGCATGGGGGACACCGCAGGCGCCGGTCATTCTCGCGCCCGAAGCCGGTCAGGCCTCGCCGCGGGTCAAGGCCCGGGTGCGGACAAGGACCAGAAAAGTGCGGCGGGGAGGGGGCGAGCGAGCGGGCAGAGCCGGCGGCGCCGCTGCCGGTCTTCGCTCACAGTGGCAACGCGACTCGCTGCACATTGCCGGGCCGGGTGGAAAGGCTATCCATGTCTCCAAAGCGCAGTCGGCGCGGGCACTGCTGCAAGCAGGTCCGCTCTCGACAGAATCAGGTTCGGGCTTGGGCTCGGACTCGGATTCGGGCGCGAGCTTGGGGTCTGGCGACTCCGAGTTGGAGGCCGTCTCGGGCACCGGTTCGTCGTCGCGCGACATCGAGGCCAACGTAGCTGCCAAAGTTGCGGCCCTTTCTTCGTCCAAGCAGCGAATGGTGGTTCGGCTGCTGGATCGGCTGGCGGACCTGGACATCGAATCGGAGACGTCTGGCGACGGAGACGTGCGGTCGTCGCTCGACCTATTGCAGCGGCTGCTGGCGTCGGCGCGGTCGCCGGCGCGGTCGCCGGCAGCGCGGTCGCCGGCAGTGCAGTCACCGGCTGGTGTGGCTGAGACGGTCGACCGGTCACCGCTGATGTTGCCGGTGGGAGCCGCGTCGACAGCCGCGTCGACTCCGACCAGGACGCCGTTGATGTCACCGGCGGCAACTGTGGACACGCCCGACTCGCTGGCATCGCCAACAAGGGCGGCGTCGCCGATGGCACTGCCAGCGTCGCGGCCGGTGGCGAGGCCACAGTTTGACACGCTCATCGAGTGCACACCGTTGAGGATACTTCTTTCGCGGGGAGACCAGACTACAGCCATCTCACTTGGCAATGTCCAGCTTTTTGACGCGTCGGGACAGAGTGTGACGGTGTTGGCCGATTCGCAAGTCTCGCTCGCCGGTGTGGCCGGGCCAAGCAAGCTCGACACTTCAGCGCTCTTCGACGAAGCTGCGCCGCAGTGGCTGGTGCCACGGGCGCGCGACGCGCCGGCGGTTGTCGTCTCGATCGCCATTCCGTCGATTGTGCCGTTGGCCTCGGTCGTGCTGACCAACTCGAACGAGGCCGCTTCGGCAGCCAGCTGGGTTGTCGTCAAATGGGACGGCCGGCAGGTGTGGTCGGGCGAGCTGGCGCTCGGCGGTAGCGCCCGGGTCAACCTCTGCGGTCCGGAGAGTGCCAAGCTGTCAGAGAACGCTGCACCTGCCAACAGGCTGGAAACAGATGGTGTGGCGGTAGAAGCGTCGGCGGCGACAGAAGCCGTGCCGGCCAAGGTTGTGGCCGCGCAAGTGTTGCCGACCGAGGTCCACAGCCTGCGGCTGATCATCCGGTCGACGCACGGCCACCGGACTCGGGTTGGGCTGACCAATCTGAGTCTTGTCGACAGCGCCGGAGTGGTCATTCCGATCGATCCAGAGCTCGACGTCGAGGTGGAGGGACTTGACCCGAGCGGGCCGGCATGGCAGGCCGCCATCACGCCGATGTTCAACGGAGTGACAGCGACATGCAGCCCGGACGACATGTGGCTTGGATGGCTGATGTCGGGCTTTGAGCCGCACGTCGAGATCACCATCTCGTATGCGTGGACCGGGCAAGCGCGCCAGCTTGTTCTCCACAACTACAACGCGTCGCTCAAGGACTCGGTCAAGTGCGTGCGCGGGCTGCAAGTCTGGCACGATCGCGAACTGGTGTGGGAGGGCGAGGTGAGCGAGGCGAAGGGCAACGCGGTCTTTCCGTACCAGCACGTTGTGGAGCTGGAGTCGGACGTGTCGGCGTCTTATGACGCGCCGTCGTCGCTGACGTTGTCTGCGACGGGAGGCTCTTCGCCCGAGCGTGGTGGGCGAGGCACAGAGTCAGCGTCGCCTGAGCAAGCGTCGCCGGCGCCGTCGCCGCCGGCGGTGTGGCAGGCGCCGATGGCATCGACTATCACGCTCAACATCCTGTCTACCTGGGGAGATCCGTTCTATGTCGGCATGACTGGGCTGGAGATCATCGACGCCGAGACGCGGCAGCCGATTCCGCTGACAGCGAGCGCACTGGAGGCGTCGCCGGCGTCACTTAACGACCTCGACGAAGTGAGCGGCGACCCGCGGACGGTGGACAAACTTGTGGACGGCGAGGTGGCGACGCGCGACGACACGCATATGTGGCTCATCCTTTACCCCCGGCGCTGACCACATGCTGCGGATCTCATTGGCGTCGCCGCGGCCGATTGCCGGCCTCCGCATCTACAACTACAACAAGTCTGAGGAGGACTCGTTCCGTGGTGTCAAGACGTTTGAGCTCTGGCTCGACGATGCGCCGCAGGTGTACGCGGGTGAAGCGTACGAGTGGGTGGTGCGCAAGGCCGGGGCGACCGGGACCGAGGGCGGACATCTGCTCGAGCTCAATCCGCAGCTGCGGGAGGCGCAGCTGGCTACTGGGCTCGGCGCGGAGTGCGAGAGTGGGAGCGGGAAGAACGAGGCGAGTGCGTGGCGGCGGCGTGAGCCGTTTGTGCTCCCGACGGTGGTGGGCGGTCTGGTGGTGGAGATTGTGCTCCTCTCCAATTGGGGCGACCTGTACTACATGGGTATGGACGCGCTGCGAGGGTGGAGCCTCAGCGGCGAGGAGCTGGACCTCGAGGCGCTGTGCGAGGAGGTTGTGGGCACGCCGCCGGACATCAACGTGCTCGACGGGGTGTCGGATGATACGCGCGGAGCGCACAACGTGGTGGTACCGGAGGAGAAGCGGCGTGCAGGCATGTCGTGGCTGGTGCCGTGGCACCCTGCCGGCAAGGCTGTGCCGCGGCTCAAGCTTGTCTTTCCGGCGCCGGTCTTCTTCTCGTGCCTCGAGCTGGTCAACTACTCCAAGACGCCGATGCGCGGCGTGCGACACTTTCAGCTCTGGGTCGACGGCCTCCTAGTGTATGCTGGCACCGTCGACGCCGGTGGGCGGCACACAATCGGGAGGCGGCCGCAGGCAGGAGGGAGCGGCGGACCGGTGCCATCGCCGCCGTCGCGCGCCCGGCGGGCGCTCGCCGAGCAAGCTGTTGTCTTTACCAATGACAGGGTCCAAGTCGCGCGGGGCGGATCAGCGCGCTCGCTTCGGCATCCTGATGCGGTGCGGTGGAACTTGAAGGCACGGGCGGCGTCCAAGCGACCACCAACGTCACAACGGTGACAATCTGCGATCCAAGTGGAATGTGCAAGAGCTTTTGTGATGCTTGCGGCGAGCTGGACAGGGTGTTGACAGTGGTTGTTTGAGGGGGAAAAAAATAAAATTGGTGCCTCAACGTGGTGGCGATTGCGAGCAGTGTGGTGTGGTGGTGGTGGAGGTGGTGGAGGCGCGGCGGCCGTTGGCACATCATGTTTTTATCGTTCCGTTTCGGTGTGAAATCGTCCCGAAGATAGTGTGAACGAGGCAGGCACCCTCTTCTCCTGGACTCTTATGGCCGACTCTGCCCCTATTGTGTGCTGCTGCGTTGGCGCCGGCTACGTCGGTGGCCCCACCATGGCTATCATGGCGCAGAAGTGCAACGTCAAGATCACCGGTACGTACCAGGCCTTTGCCGCACACCCGACCGGCGTGGGCTGTGGATGTGCGGTGGCTGGAGCGACGGCCGGGCGTAGCAAAAAATGCTCAGAACTTGGTTGGACGAGAAGCGGGAGCCGGCGGGGGCCCAAGGGCGGGGGGGGGGGGAGGGAGGGGGGAGGGGGCACGTGAGGGTGAGGGACATGTTGGCCACCGGTGGGGGGGAGGGGGGGGAGGCGTAACTCACGAGCGGTTGTGGCATGGCGGCAGTGGTCGACATCAACCAGGCCCGGATCGACGCTTGGAACTCGGACGAGCTCCCGATCTACGAGCCTGGACTTGACGAGATTGTCAAGGCGCAGCGTGGCAAGAACCTGTTCTTCTCGACCGAGGTGGATGCCGCCATCGAGGAGGCCGACATTATTTTTGTGTCGGTCAACACGCCGACCAAGACGTACGGTGTGGGCGCCGGCGCAGCTGCTGACCTCAAGTACATCGAGGCCGTGGCGCGGCAGATCGGGCAGGTTGCAACGGGCAACAAGATTGTTGTGGAAAAGTCGACGGTGCCGGTGCGCTGCGCTCAGGCGATCAAGGCGATTCTCGAGCCGCATGCGCGCGAGAAGGGCCTCCGCTTCGACGTGTGCTCCAACCCGGAGTTCCTCGCCGAGGGCACGGCCATCCGCGACCTGCTTGCACCGGACCGCGTGCTCATCGGGTCTGACCAGAACGAGTCTGGCCTCGCGGCGTGCGCGCTTGTCAAGTCACTGTACGCGCAGTGGGTGCCCGAGGAGAAGATCCTGACGACCAACGTCTGGTCGTCGGAGCTCTCCAAGCTTGTGGCCAACGCGCTCCTCGCGCAGCGGATCTCGTCGATCAACGCCATCTCGGCGCTGTGCGAGAAGACCGGTGCGGATGTGGAGGAGGTCGCGCGCGCTGTCGGGCGCGACTCGCGGATTGGGCCCAAGTTCCTGGGCGCGTCGGTTGGCTTTGGCGGCTCGTGCTTCCAGAAGGACATCCTCAACCTGGTGTACCTGTGTGAGTGCGAGGGCCTGCAGGAGGTTGCCGACTACTTCCGGTCGGTGGTCGACATCAACACGTACCAGCGCAACCGCTTTGCCCGCCACATCGTCAACACGCTCTTTGGCACGATTGGCGGCAAGCGCATTGCGCTCTTTGGCTACGCGTTCAAGAAGGATACCGGCGACACTCGTGAGTCTGCGGCGATCTATGTGGCTGGCGAGCTGCTCAAGGAGCGCGCCCGCCTTGCCATCTATGACCCCAGGTCAAGCGCGAGATGGTGTTCTGGGAGCTCGAGCACACGTCCGAGGCGCCCAAGGACATCGACTTTGAGTCTGTCGTGGAGTACTCGAACACCGACCCGTACGCCATTGCCAACGGTGCCCACGCTGTCGCCGTCATGACCGAGTGGCCCGAGTTTGTCTCGGAGATTGACTGGCAGCGCATCTACGACAACATGGCCAAGCCGGCGTTCATCTTCGATGGCCGTCTCCTTCTCGACCACGATGCTCTGCGGGCCATCGGCTTCCAGGTGTACTGCATCGGCAAGAAGTAAGCGATTTCATACTTGCCTTGGCTCCCTCCCTTCCCAGTCAAAGTAACTCCCTGCACAGTTTGTGGCGTCAGCGTAAACGCGGTCGTGCTTTATTGCCACAGGTTGCTACACCCGGGTGTGGTGCGGCGGCGCGCGCTCGTACTCTTCATAGTCGTACGATGGCACGTCCGAGTCGCCGACCTCGGACGAGCCGCCGTAGCGTGAGGTGGCCATGGCTCTGGTCTCGGCGTCCATCATGGTTGACGAGAGGCCATTGGACCGCGAGGCGCGGAGGCGGGAGCGGCGCTGCGAGAGCGAGGTGTGGGCGGCATCGGTCCCGCCCGAGTCGGACGCCGAGCCGTCGTTGAGAGCCGAGCTCGAGGCGGTGCCCCATTCGTCAGACGACTCGACGACCTCGATGATCTTCTTGATGATTTTGGTGCCGTCGGGGCCGTCGATGACCCGGGTCTTGGTTCGCTTGTGGACCCGGGTCCGGCGCGGGGCGCCCGGAGCCGGCGACGCTGGCTCGGTCAGGCTTGCGGGTGCAGGCGTCGCCGATCGGCGGCGTCGTCTTCTGGGCGGGCGGTTGCCTCGACCGACCTCTGCGCCCGGAGTCTGTGTAGCGTCATCCTTGCGTCTAGCGCGGCGGCGCTTGCAGCAGAGGTAGAGGCAGGCGAGGAGAAGACAGACAACGATGCCTGCGGCAATGGCGGAGAGCGAGAAGGGGATGACGGTCATGCCCAGGGCGACGATGTCATCGCCGGCAGGCGGAGCCGGCGACGGTGGATCGACCACAGACACGTCGAGGCACTGGTAGTAGGTAGCATTCTGAGTGGTGTAGGCAAACTCCAGCACGCCCTCCATGAGGGCAATGGCAGCCGGAAAGGGGATCTGCATGAAGTGGTAGCCCGGGGCAGTGTCCGAGAGGACGAGCGGATTGGCAACGGGCGATCCTGAGGCAGCTGAGTCGGCGATAAAGATGGGAGTGATAAAGCCATTGATCTCAGGCTGGAAGACATACAGCGTGTAGTTGTTGAGAGTTCCACGGAGCACCTCTGTCATGGTGGGGCCCTTGCCCACATCGACGCACGGCGTCGTGTTCTCCGCCGGCAGGCCACGGACGCCCACCGTTGGCTGGGAGATGTTGAAGACAGCGTCGACCGGGAGCGGGGCGAGGGAGATGAGGACGAGGACGAGGATGAGGATGAGGGGGAGAGGGAGAGGGAGAGGGAGGGGTGACCAGTGTGTGTGGGTGGGTGGGTGTGGGGGGGTGTATGGCTGATGTGTGCGGTGGGCGTGGTGGTGGTCAGCGTGTTCCAGTGTGGCGGTGGTAAAGGCGGCAGGCCCGTCCACACGCCTCTTGCCGAGCATGATGGCAAGAGTGGCAGGGGATGGGAATGGGGCAGGAGATGGGGTGGTGTTGGTGTTGGTGGGTAGGTGAAGGGTGGGGTGGTGGTGGTGGTGGGGTGGGGTGGTGGTGGGGTGGGGTGAGCGGGTGGGGTGTGAGCGGGTGGGGTGAAGGGGGGTGAGGGGGGGAAGGGGGAAGTGGGGGAAGGGGAGGGGGCAAGTGGGGAA